GGGGGCTGGGCCCCGACCACACCCCCCATCCCTCGTCATACTGCTGCAGGCCAGCTCGTGCCAGTGTCCGCCTGGCGCCGGGACGAGTGAGCTCGCCGCATAGTCGGATGGCTTACCCGGAGCCAGCGCCAATCATAAACGGAGCAACAGTTTTGCAATATGTGTGATCTGCAGCATTTTATGGCGGTGCAGTTTAACACGATTCATTAGGTAGCCGACTACTACGTCAAATTAATGGCAATCTCATAACATGATCGTTCGTCACAATCACTGGATGTTACTGCGTAAATCCAAACAGTCTCTCAGTCGCTTGCAAAAAGGTTGTAATGTTCGAAATGGTTGGCTTCTAAATCCTGACAGCTACATTTTTGGATAAACTGTCATCCTCATTAGTCTAGCATTTAAAGCGATGCCCAAATGATCTGATAGTAAGTTCGTCATATACGACTTCCAGTTTCTTTCAGCGATTCACCTTTAGTGTAGTAAAATCTGGATTCATTAAAGCGTAGCGCAGCAGGAACCGGCAGTTAAGTAAGAGCCCTAGTGCAGATATCGCCCAGGCAATCGTGTTATAACAATGACGTCATAGTTGTTGTGTGTTTACGCTCAGTGGTGGAGGTACCCCTGAGCTAAGGTCGCGAGGAATGTGTAAATTTCAGGCGACCTTTTAACACAACAAGCAAACACAGGCAACTTACATGGCATGACAATGCATGCTGCGTTTAAAGATCAAGAGCCGGCCTCGTAATATTCTCAGACAGTCAGATTGTACCTAAAGATCGAAGAAAATCGATCAGACGCTCCTGCACCTATGCACCTTTGGGTGCCCCATTAACAGCCAGGTTATCACACTACGTGGCCACGACGAACGTGTAGCTTGACGGTGTATATGGAAATGGTAGTCGGGTCACTCCATGTCAATCCAACCAGGCAAGGATCGCTTTTGACACGCGACCATCGGGGATTTTGACAAAATCGTGTCTGTCAGGTTTGGTATAGCTCTGAACACGATTCGCAGAAAATTAGAGCGATTGGAGCCCTTGTGGTTGAGTTACAGACGCCTTATCTTCTTTCATGTTTTGGAACATGTAACTTTTAAAATAACGTATCTAGGCCGCTTGATGGGCCTTGAGCAGTGGCACCTTAAGGTCTCAAATCGGGCCCCTAATCGTTCGTCCCCTGGAGTCCTTCGATCCCGTCTTTGGGCCCTTCAAACACTGATCCTGGTCGATTCGGGCCCCCTATCAAAACAGGACCCCCTGTTGGGCACTTCAACACAGGGTGCTCTCCTCACTAACTCAGGGGCCCTGACCAATGCACATCTCAGGCCCCGGCATTGTCGCTACTTGGGAAATCAGCCCCCAGACCGAGTACGACACAGCGTCAACAGTTCGGTGCTGGTGGTGCCTGGCCAACATGAAGGCCCAAATCGACTCAGGGAGCCCCAGATCGGCGCAAAGGGTCGTAGTGACATTTATTTGAGGACCTAGTCCTGCGGGTCGTGGCCTCTTCATGCGACCTCCGGTCAGCCCTTCGAGCTATTTGGGCGTTCAAATCGGGTCCTCGAGCGACAGTTGTGAGGGGCCGTTCGGACCCCTCTGGACCTAAAGGAGCACGTTCTTCCTGTGCTCCCTCGCCTGCGCTACTGATTATTCGCATATTTGAAAAAGAGAAGGAGCGTGTGCAAGAGACGGAGCGTATGGAGAATTCAGAAAATGAGAAGCTTGCGGTGTAAAATTTCATTTGGGTACAGCATTAGCAACGGCGCATTCGTTCGGTACGTGTATGAAGATGTAAGATGATGATGAAATGGCAGCTCAAAGAGGTCAGCCCCTGAAAAACTTAAGCCATACCAAAAACCTTTTAAGGGTCAGTTGACATTGTCCAAACTCGTTATAGTCAAACAGCATGATAATCCCTACAGTTTGAATCTTTCGGATTTTTGGAAGGGAAAATGTCAGGTCAGTGGCCTTAATTCAGGTCAAGTTTTGTTATTTGCGCAAGTTAGTCTAAATTTGCATGCAGTTTTGGTAGATTTGGATTTTTGCTTGTAAAAGGTTATGAGTAAAATTGCATTGTGCATTGTAGAAGAGTACTGACTTACATGCAAGGCCAGCATATGCTCACAGAGTACGTGACCTTGGCTCAGATCATGACCCAGCTCTTTTGGTATTTTTTGCAAAAACATGCTGAGGTCAAATAGGCAGTTTCGTTGGGTAATTTTGAGTGTAGGACTCGAATACTCTACTGAAAACGTGTAGTGAAATAATTATAGTGCATAATGGGGCCGCAACAGTTCATATGAATGCGTGCAAGGTAATGTGACGCCCCCCAAGGTCAATTATCTATGTTACCAGTTGCCGTTTCTAACCAGACAAAACAATGTATTGGTCACAGACTCGGTAAGCACCTAGAAGTTTTGCATTTGGATGGCTTATAAATTTGACCTAAGTTGACTCCAGATGACCTCTAGGTCCCCCTGAAATAGTATCTTTGTGCCTGGAATACTTTTTCCCACAGCCGCGCGCAATAAAATAAAAAGTCAGAAGCATATGGTGAATAAAATCATTGTATCTCGTGAGCTACTGCCAGACCGATTTTGAACGTTGACATGTTTTGACCTGACCCATTTAGGGTAACAAAAATGGTCGGAAAGGACTTTTCATAGCCTTAACTACTTATTTACGTGCCCTCAATCCTATCTGGACGTGTTAACATAGGTTTCGAGTGCATCTATCGGAGTGAACGCTTTAACTTCTGTGACCTCTGATGATCTCACAATTGACCCAAGGTCCAAACATTTGGTGTGCATTTTTAATGATTTGACGAGACCTTTACAACGCTATCTTTGTTTTTCATACGGCGCCTAGAAGTTTGAGATCCCAAGCGGAAGTCAACTCCCCGGCCGGGCACGGTTGTCTTAAACCCCCGGCCGGGCACGGTTGTCTCAAACCTCCGGCCGGGTTGACACGCGGTCAGGTGGGCGGGGTCAAATTAACTGCTCCGAAGGTTTTCCAGAATCATTTTTGAGCGGAGCGATGTAGCCGTGCTCAACTCTGCATAGCTGTAGATTATTAAACAGCAACTCTTTTTATATAAAAATTGGGTGTACCGTGTGAAGGTCGCTGAACTAAATGGCATGCAAAATGCAGGCCATGGACTCTCAACGAAGGGCATTGCTAGGGAGTTGCTCAATGTGATACAAGAACGGAGCATTAGGCAAAGCCAAACCTTTCGGATATAGTTTTTTAGGCAATTGTCCATTAAATTCAGGATGACACCCACTTCCATGGACTCAGGGTCACGTAATGAAGGTCAGAATGTGGTCAAAACTGAACTGATTTTTTACTCGAGAGCTTGGCTGTATGGGGATAGTTTCTGGTGCTCATTTCGAGCTTTTTTATTGACCGGGACCACGACAGACATGTTTCATGGACTTTTTTAAGGTCAGAGTAGGTCATTAACCTAAAATGACCCAGATCAACATCTTGCTTTCAGGAAGATATCACCTAGCGTGAATCCCCGATGCTAATGGGAATGACAAGGCAGGAACAATCTCGTAAATATTTGGTCACCTTGGTCTTATAAATGTCAAACAACGTCACTGACCTGAATGACCTTTTGCTTAGAACAGGTATCTAGCTTCACGGTGGTTGCATGAGGATGTCTGCGGCACTTGAGGTGCCAATTTGGCATTGCCATTGTTTGCCCTGCCCCCCCCCCCCCCCCCAGTCGTTTGACATTGTTTGCCTTATTTGACCCCAAGGTCGTGCCCTAGGGCACCTCAAACTTTCACGCAAGTGAGTCCACGTACAGGTTAATTAACTATCTGAATTTAGTGTCTTCAACTACCTTGGTTTTTGAGATCTCAGCAGGGGGTCCAATTGGCCCCCGCCCACCCGAACGTAGGGTATTTAGCCGAGGCGCGAGTTTTAATACGGAATATTTAAATACATCTAGGATGATAACAAACAATGAAGTCGCCGTTATTTTCAATGACAAATGTCTAGTTAGCAATCTGCTTCCGAAAGACACACACACACACACACACACACACACACCACACACACACACACACACACACACACACACACACACACACACACACACACACACACACACACACACACACACAAACGCACAACACACACCACACCACACACACACACACACACACCGCACACACACACACACACACACACACAACACACACACACACACACCACACACACCACACCACACACACACACACACACACACGCATATATATATATATATATATATATATATATATATATATATATATATATATATATATATACAATGCGAAGTTTGGTGCACTAGCTTGCATGCCCTTCGCCAAACGTTTCGCGGCGGTCCACAAAGCTATTGGCGAAATAGGGGGAGGAGGATACCGTAGTATTTTGGCTAGTCGGGCAAATTGCACAACCAATGAGAGTGTCCGGCGTCCCAGCACCCCTCTCATTTGGAAGGATTGCATAAGCTTTTGGGGCTCTCTTTGGATTGGGATCTAAATGAATCATTGAAGGCATAGACAAACTTTGCTTATGCACTGAAGACTAAATACCAAATTTCTAACACTGTACAAACGCTGGCAGCATGAGTAGCGTCGGTAGGTGCGTGAACATCTCATCCAAAAAATCCAGGTGTCAGAAAATTCGCCGCAAAGTTGTTAGGACACACATTGGTCGCATTAAATAAACCTTGGGGTTTCCGGGTACAACTACATTTGTGGTTCGAAATAGTTTAGGCATTTTTACTTTTTTGCATTGCTTATGCCTCCATACGGCGCTTTTTACTAGAATGAACTCGATACGTTATAAACGATCTTTTACGGTTTCTGTTACATAAATTTTCGTGTTAAGTTTGCATTCTCTTCAGGGTGTGTATGGGACGACCACATCCACCCTACATACACAACAAATGTTCTGGTGGCGCGTGTGTACGGCCGCAGATCCGTTGCCTGAGCGCCCATTCACCTTATGTCCGGTGGGCAGGAACCTGTCCACCATGTCAAACGGCACGATGAAGCAGTCCTGGTCCAGCTGTTCTAGCGACGCCAGCTCCTCGACACCGTCCTGGCCGGGCTGCTGCTCGGGGCCCGCTGCGGAGGCGGCGGTGGAGGCGGCGGCAGCGACGGCGGTGGCGACGGCGGGCGGCTGCTCCTCGCTGCGCTGCTGTCGCCGCCCGCTCTCCTTCCTCGAGCCCGGTCGCAGCCGCTCCAGCAGGCTGGGACTGCGGCGGCGCGGCGCCGGCTCGCGTAGACCCCCGCCCACCAGGTCCATGAAGATATGAGTGCGTAGAGGGCGCTCGGCATGTTCGGGGGGCTCGGCCGGTACGCCGCCGGTGCAGCGCAGCCGGCGCGGCTGCAGCTTGACTCGCGTCCGCGTCAGCTGCACCGGCTGACTGTAACTGTCGGATGACGCCGGCTTCGAGCCGCCGCTGCCGTACAGGAAGTTCATCGGCACGGCGGGCGCGGCCGAGCGGGCGGGACAAAGCCGTCCTCTGTCTTGCCGGCCGCATCCACCGACTGTGGCGACGTCGACTCACGCGACGGGTCAGACGTAGCCCCGCTCAGAGGGGCACCCAGGCGTCCGCCCTGGTCCATCCATCTTCACAGAGTGTCGGCCGCGCACTGACTTGGTCGATTGGCGGCTTAGGTTCCGACCGCCGTATAGCACGCGCACAATTTCGCAGACGTCCAGGACTCCTATGTCCACAGCTTCCCATAAACATGAAATCACAGTCACTGATTGTCGTCACTGACAGTATGATCCGGTCCGCCAGGCTGTTTCCCTCAGTCCCCGCCTGCGCACTTATATAATACCCCGTACCTCACATCTTCGGCCCGGCACAAGGAGTCGGCCTTGGAGGACGTCCGCCGCTACACCCGTCAGCGCCGTCACCTCGGGCATCGAGCTCACCCGCGGCGCACGGAGTGGAACGCAAGCCGGGCGTCGCCGCTCGTCCCGCTCCGACGGCGCGGCGACAAGGTTACGACCCGACCCGCGATCGCGCGCGGCCAGGCGCCAGCCACTGCGGGCAGCGTCGGCGCGCCGCGCCTCCCGCCCAGCTGTGGAGGGGCGGGCTGCGCGCGCCGGCCGGCCGACGGCAGTTGCCCAGTCTCGACGCATCACTTTGTCCACGGCCCAACAACCGGACACTATTTCTATCTAATGCGGAGTGGCGAGAGAATGCGGGCGGCCGACCACTGCTGTCGGGCTGCTCCGGTGCGCCAGGTTTATTTCGGTCGGCTCACGGCGTCGCTCGCCAGCACCGCGCACCGGCGGCGGCCGCGGCCGCTGCCAGCTGGACCACGTGACGCCGCGCGTGCCGCGCTGCCGTCTGCCGGCGCTGGAGGCCGGTGATGCGGCTGACGGGGCGTGACGTCACAGCAGCGGACCGGCTGGCAGGTGAAGGTCGGGCCTGGGGGGGGGGGGGGGGGGGGGGGGGAGGAGGCGTAGGCGAGAAGCATGCGGTCCGCCTGCCGCTAATTACACGTCAACATCGTGTCGGTCCGCCAGCGGCACCGCACTGATTGGACGCACATGACGAGCCAGCCGAGTGTTTGCGGCGACCCCTCCGTCCTCCACCCCGCACCCGAACTGTCGAGATGCTTGTCGGACCCGCCCGATAGGTGAGAAAAGGATATCCAAGTCATACTGGACGTTACGTTACTGCGCCTTCGCCGTCAGACACAGCGCACGAGCCACTAGCAGGGCGAGCTTCCATTGCACTCGCGGTGAGCTCTCCTTCAGCACGGGTGCAGCCTCCCCGCCCCGGAAGCGAGGTGACAAGAGGGGTAGAACAGATACCGTCGTGGTTGCTGTCTCGACATCAGCAAGGCATACCGGGGCTATTATGCGTCGCGTTGGATTGCTCTGTCCACTAAGACCACCAGCATCTCACTGACGTGACGTGGACACTGAGCAAGTTCCCACGTTTTAGATGGCTCAGGTACTGGAGAACCGAGGCCCATGTGACGCCTAGCCCCACGAGAGCTACTGCACGAAGGTGGCCGCGGTCTAATGGGTTCCGTCTCCCGCTGCGGCCGCGCGGCCGTCGTCCGCCTTGCCGTCTACGAACACTTGCCAGCCACCATCGTCGGGCTGCAGCTGTGAAGACAGCTTGTCCGCGCCATGTCGCACGTGTGATGCCCCCGCCCCCTCCCTCTCCCGCCCGCAGCGCTAATCTGGTGGCATATTCTGATGGTCGTCTGGCAGCACGCCAGGCCGGTGCACCCCGGCAGTCGCCACCTGTATGTACACTGTACAGTGTACATACCCGGCCCGCCAGGCCTGTACACCTCGGCAGTCGCCACCTGTATGCACACTGTACAGTGCACATACCCAGCCCGCCAGGCCGACAGCCGCCCGGCGGCCGCCACCTGTATGTTCACTGTACAGTGTACACACCCGGCCGACAGTGTACACACCCGGCCCGTTAGGCCGACAGTGTACATACCCGGTCCCTCAGGCCGACACACCCGGCAGCCGCCACCTATATGCAAACGATAAAAGGGCAATAACCCAGCCGGCGGTGAACGCGATGTAGAACGATCGAGAGATCGGGAAGCACAATGCCAATAAACGCCACGGGTCAAGTTAAGCACCATAAGTGGCAAACGAGACTGGCTGACAAAGCAACATCACCTATATATGAATTGGTAAATTAAAACTAACTAAACTAACTGCGTAACTAAGTGACTCTATTGATGAACGTCTGGGTCAGCGAAGTGCATGAGTAAACATACCCACTACACGAGCCTGGGTGAAGTTTCCTATTTTTTTCTTGACGTGGGAAGCGGTAAGAAGAACTCTTGTCCTCGAACTTAAAGGAGGATATGGGCCAAGTTCGGAAAGAAATCCATATTTTGTGGGGTTTTTGGGAGCAGATTTCGGGCATCGAATGTCGCGATGGGCTGACTTATATTGCCCTCGGAGACAGCCCAGGACCCTTCGAGCGAGTGGGAACAACCCAAGACGAGGTCACTGCAAAGGGCCCCTGAGCGACCGAGAGTACCCACGCAAACAGTAAATGAAGCCCCGGAAATAGCGTTTAGAGTTATCAGGGTGAGCGTGAAGCATCTGCGAAAGGCCCCGAGCGATCGAGAGGGCCCCAGCAAGTTACTATAGGCCTCCGACAAAAGCGTAGGGACCTCCGGACAAATGTGGAAAGCTCAATGATGAGCCGATACTAATGCAGAACCCATGAACAACGTAGAAGGCCCTAAGCAATCGAGAGTACCCAATCAAGTCCACACATAGAGCCCCAGGAAACATTGTTTGATATGGACAGCAGTATGAACCGTAAAATCCTGTCATCCAAAGCCTTCTCAACCGGTCAAAAACCATTTCCGCTTTCCCATGGGGCATTTAGTTTTGCTTGCGGTCCTTCCCAGGCGGCGGTGGAACCGAAGATGCGTAATTATTTGCGTTTTGTTTTAAAAACTGCTGTGCGTTCGGCGGGGTGTGGTATTCTTCAAAACCTATGCGCCACTTCGGAGCCAAAGGTGTTGCCCCTTGGCCCCCTGTGGATACAGCATGGCATAGAACAGGGGTAAGGTGAAGGATGTGCGATCAGTGTGGGGGTGGGGGGCACGGGATCATCTTTTCCCCATTTAGCATGTTAAAAAGACTGTGGGCAACACCCCAACGCACCCAATACTAAGCGCTGCTGCCATCTGTAGGCCAACGATAAACTTATCTGTCTAGCTGGCCGGTCGATTTCGATGGCTTCTTCGGTATTGGGCACTGTACACCCCTAAGTTATTTGTCATATCAGCTAAACTTCCAGAATGCGCAGCTATTTATGGCTATAAGAAGGCATAATTCTAACACGGCTTCTCAGTATATTCTGTTTGAGTCTTGGAAACAATTTTCCCAGCACTAAGGACTTTTGGGCGAGGTCGGGACACACTCCGTATTCCACACGCAACACAACATGACCCGGCAAAACCAATAGGTTACAAAAGTAGCGTTTAGTCGGTAGGTCATCAATCGGTGAGGTCAAATGTAAAATCACACCACGTTTACATTGCCTAGACTATTTTATGCTGTCAAATGTATAGTATATATATATATATATATATATATATATATATATATATATGTGTGTGTGTGTGTGTGTGTGTGTGTGTGTGTGTGTGTGTGTGTGTGTGTGTGCATATCAGAAATCACTATCATTTTTGTTATATGTCAACGTCTTAAAACACATTGTGTATCATAATCAGGACGCCAGGGTATCAAAGTATAATGAAAGTAACAGTGCATTTAGCAGACGTCGCTAGACATGGAAAAGCTCATAGTTAGCACAATAAAGGCATGGCTTCTCTGCGCGCAAACCGAACAGCTTGAAAAACACAAATTATGCGACGAAAGATCGCTTGGATTCCGCATAAAAAATTGCGTAAGCTGCTAAGTGCATTTGCGAGGAACATTATACACATAGATAAGACGGTAGTCACAGACTTATCTCTCGAAGAAAAGCCAGGAGAATGGAGATATAGATGCGTTGATATTTCAGGCAACATGCCTTTATCGAAAGGAATAGCAGAAACAAATTCGGAGGAAATCGCAAAAAGGTCTTTTAGAAGGACTTCTTGTGTTTTTCATTACTGTTCAGAAGCCGACCAAGTTAGCATGTAAGAACTTGGGTTGAAACAAACATATCACTACTGATAGTGCCCGGTAAATTATCATAACCCATGGTAACAGTAACTAGAATTGTGTACTTAAGAATGATATCTCGCTTCCATACTAAAACTAAAGTCAAGCGCTTCACAAAACAGAGACCAATGGTCACGCCACACCAAAAATATGCACGGTGGCACTACCACTGGACACTTTCTTAGTAAGAAGAAACACGGGTGTCGACTTGCATTTTTTGAGCGGGCCAATGCTCCCTATGTCCAATTTGGCCCGCCTGACGATGAGCATGCCCCTACGCTTCTTAGGTCTACGCTTCATGCCCCTACCCACCTACAGCTTCTTAGGTCTACGCTTCATGCCCCTACCTACCTACGCCTCTTAGGTCTACGCTTCATGCCCCTACCTACCTACGCCTCTTAGGTCTACGCTTCATGCCCCTACCTACCTACGCCTCTTAGGTCTACGCTT